CATATTTTCGTTGAATATAAAAATAAGAATGTCATCAAAATAAACAAGAACCCCCTGATATAAGTGCTCATGCAAAATTTCATTGATCAGTTGCATGAGGACTGTGGGGGCCCCTTGGAGTCCAAAAGGCATGACCCGGAATTGGAAGCTGCCCAACGGGCAGTTAAAAGCAGTCTTCCATTCATCTCCCTTCTTTATGGAACTTCGTATTAGGCTTCTCTTAGATCTAGCTTGGTGAAAATCTTGCCTTTTGATAGGTGGTTCAGCAAGTCCTTCATCAGTGGGAGGGGGTAGGTATTTTGTATGCAAATGGTGTTCATGCCTCTAAAATCAACACTTAATCTTAAGGTACCATCTTTTTTTTCTTTAAACAGTATTGGGGCGGCCATCCTGGATTTCGCAGGCTCGATGAACCCTCTGGCTAGGTTGTTGTCAATGTACTTCCTCAACTTGGTCATCTCAGCAGGTGTCATGGAGTACATTCTGGGTTTTGGCAATTTGGCCCCTAGTTGTAATTCGATGGCGCAGTCTGTGGGCTGATGAGGGGGGAAGAGGTTACATTCTTCCTTACTGAAAGCTTTGGCTAAATCTGCATACACCTTAGGGATCTGGTGTTCACCTGGAGGCCCGTCTGAACAAGCTGCAGCTGTCTCTGGCCTCTGGCCATTATGGGTAGGTTGCTCTTTGGGGGGAGGGGCAGGGGGTGATGGGCCAACCCTTATTCTGATTTTTCGGTATCCATCTTCTCATGTGATGGTGGGGCCCCATCTATCCAGCCAAGCCAGGTCTCGTATGATAGATTCTGACAGTTCAGTAATATGGGTGGCAGGGACTCCCCCAATTATTTTACATCCACCTGGTGAAATTTAATTGGGTGCTTTAAGGGTGTTGTCCTGATCCCCAATTGTTCTACAGCTTTAAGGTCGATTAGACATCTGGTGCAGCCAATATCTATTATTGCTGGTAGTTCTGCTTGTTTCCTGTGTCTGGCAGCACCAGTTTTACTTTAATTGAGGAGAGGGGGATGGATGCAATCATCATCGGGTCTTCATCTCCGCTAGCCATGCTGGGAGGGGCTCCTATAGCTGGAGGGTCCTCGCTCTCTTCAGTGGGGAGGGGAATTGTCTGGCAAATTGTCTGGTGTCTGGGGTTTTCCTTGGAGTCCTCCTGCCTCATGGCGGGGCGTTGTTGTGGAATTGGGGCAGGGGCCAGGCATTCAGAAGCTCGATGTCCTGTTTGTCCACACCGATAGCACTTAATCCCCCCCCCCCTGGTTGAGGGAAGGGTGAAATTGGTAGCCTTTGAAATGGGCCTTCTAGATAACAGAAGGGGTCTTGCTGTGGGAGTGGACTTCTCTGTCTAGAGGAATGGACATGGTATTCCAGTTGTGGAGACACTCAGGCACCCCCCAGATCCCATAGGCTTTTCTGACTTCTGGGTCAATAGTTTCTTTAAAGTAGTGTAGGAGTATGCAGTCAGGCCAATGCCCTAGATTCCCTGTGACTCATCTAAAGTCCCATACAAAGTCTTTTATAGGTTGATTACCTTGCTTCATGACTTTTAGCGTGGCTTCGCTTTCATTTATGGCTCTGGGTCCTCAAATCGGGAACGGAGCAGTGTGATAAATCCATCAGCATCATTCAGTTCTGCAGAGCCCTGTGCAGCTGGGCTATACATTCAGAAGCCTCCCCCTCATTCAACCCATCTGAGATTGCCGATACTAAGTCCCATTCTGATTCGTATTGGTCCCCATACTGATTCACGTGAGCCCAGACCCTGCTGAGGAAATAAGCTAATTTGGCTGGCATCCTGTCAAAGGTTGCTCTGAAACAGGGTGGCATTGGCCTCACGGGTGGAGGGCCCCCGGCTGCGGCTGGCTAGAACTTGCTGCGGGACTGCTCCTGGTTGCTGCATTCCAACCGGCTGCTGGGAGACTTGCTGGGCTGGAAAGGGGGGGACAACATCATCGGCTACTGCAGGAGGGGGCCTGGCTCTTGAGCTACTTGCTGTGCTGGAGGGGGGGCACTCCAGCCGGCTGCTGGATAAGCCCCCCCTCTGGTGCTGGGAGCGTTGGGCCATAGGAGGGGGGCCAGGGGGATCCCTGGAAGCTTGGAACAGACAGCACGGTATACCACTGGCACTGGATCCATCCCTGGCCAGGATAAAACATCCAGGCAGTATGCTCTCCGCAGGAGGTAGCGCGAAGGCAGGCTGGCAAGGGCCCCCAAAAGGGGTTTTTTGCATACCGTATGCCAGCTGTGCCTGGTGTCCCACTGCTTGCAGGATGGCCATGCTGCACCGATCGTCCCATTTTGCTCCTTGCCAGTTGGGGGGGGGATTGCACCCTACTAAGCCCCCCTCCATGTCCCGGATCAGGGAAAGTGAATGTAGGTTGCACTAGCCACCATCTCACCTCAAGGGGTTGGGAAGAAGGTGCATAACTCCCACTTCCATCTGCTCAAACCACTCAGGGAGTCCAGTTAAGGACTGGCTCCACATTGTGTGCGGCTGGTCCCAGTCCCAGAAGTTGCCAGATCCCACAGCAGTCCCCATCCTCCAGTCTTGCTCACGGGGCAACTTCAATTCCCCTCCTGGAGCTGGGTCGGACTGGCAACTCTTCCAGGACTCTGACGCCTTGGACTGAGCCCCAAGCCAAAAGGCTTCCTCTGCAGCCTCCATGGCCCATCCCATTTCTTCAGAAGGAGAAAGCAAGGAGTTGGTAATTCCTTGAGCACCCAGTCCTCCAGTGGCCCCTTCTCCATTCTTTCCTTTCTCCTCCATCTTCACTGAGTCTTTGCACCACCCAGGGTTTAGGTAGATGCTGGGGCTCAGCACCCCCGACAGCCCCCTTATGGGGTGCTGTTAGGCTTTTGTGAGATTCGGGTTAATGTCAGCATTCCAATAAAACCCCAACTCCAAGTAAAGATGCAGAAGCAAGCATTTTCCAAAGTTCTCTTTACTAGAATAGGTAAACTGGCACATCTGGAGAAACCCGAATCTGAAAAGCCCGGGTTTTCCTTCAGTAAGTCAAAGCTCCCAAAACCATCCCCTTTTCTCCCCAGCCAATCACATGCTCCAATCAACGTCCATTCCTTCTCGACCCAGCCCCTGACCACTCCTTCTCCAGATGCTGGATTGCCCTGACCTTGACCGACAGGGATAATGCTATTATGTCTACTAACCCCCTCTCCTAAATCCCCCCTCCTACTTTCCCACACATGAGAAGGTGGCAGGGATTGAAGCTTCTGGCCTAATATGGCTTCCAAGGTTGACACTGAGAAAGAATTAATTCTCAGCTGTTTTAATAAAATAAGTTTGTTCAGGAATGAATTGTGTTTGGTAATCACTACTTGGGCGTTGGTCACAACAGTTAGCAGCAACAACTATAATGAAGAAATAAAAGTGGAAGTTCAGCTTGAGAACCCCCTTTTTGTGCAAGGAGAAACCAGAAAGATCAATTTAAGGAGATATGCAGCTTGCTGAAAAATGAAGTGTATAAGCACAATATTTTCTTTCTTTTGGGCATTCCTGGAGGTCACAACATAACAGATCAAAAAACATCCCCATCTCCAGAGGTGGTTCTTAAAGCCCGTGGGCACCCAAATTGGGCATTTACTAAATCAGCATGTAGGACAGGGGTGTCAAACTCGTGGCGTCATGTTTTTCCCCTTTGCTAAACCAGAGGTGGGCATGGCCAATACGTGATGACTCCGGCCCATAGGCTGTGAGTTTGACACCCCTGGTGTAGAAGATAACCAGACTGAGCCATGGCAGGAGTCAAACATGTCAACAGTAAATGTATGTATGTATGTATGTATGTATGTATCAGGGGTGAAATGCTCCCGGTTCGGACTGGCTCGGGCGAGTAGGTAGAGATGATGCCTAGTGGTTCGGGGGAACCGGTAGCAATGGCAGCTGGAGGCTCCACCCACCCGCCCCATTCTCCGAACTCGGGGAATGCACCATTCCCGGACTCCTACTGCCCACCTTTCTCCCGCGGCTGGCTGTCAGGGAAGGCAAGCGCCCGAAAGGTACCAGAGTCGCTCACTCTCCTTCTTGAATGAGCCGCTCTGGTCCACGCGCCGGCTGCGCAAGCGCACATCCAATCTGCCGCTGAATTAAATAAACTGTGCGCTTGCGCAGCTGGCGCGTGGACCAGAGCGGCTCATTCAAGGAGGAGAGTGAGCGACTCTGGTTCCTTTTGGGCGCTTGCCTTCCCTGACAGCCAGCCATGGGAGAAAGGTGGGCAGGAGTCCGGGGAATGGGGCGGGTGGGCGGAGCTGTGGGAGAAAGAAATTTAAAAAGTTTTCCTACCGGGTTCTGTGGGTGTGGCTTGGTGGAAGGGGGTCTTGTGACTGAGTGGGCATGGCTGTGAGTGACATCGAGTTGGCCATGCCCACTCAGTCACAGGATACCCCCCCCCCACCAAGCCACGCCCACAGAACCGGTAGGGAAAAATTTTAGATTTCACCCCTGGTATGTATGTATGTATGTATGTATGTATAGAAAACCAAACTTGGTACACAGATGACTTACCCTCTGGAGACAAACACTGTGGGGGTAAGACACCCCTAACACCCCTTGGTGTGCGTGCGTGTGTGTGTGTGTGTGTGTTCCAGCATAACTCTGGAACGTCTCAAGCAATTTCAACCAAACTTGGTACACAGATGATTTACTCCCTGGAAAAAAATACTGTGGGGGTAATATATATGTCACAATTTGTGTGTCACAGATTATAGTTTATGTTGTCTTTGTTCTAAGGAGGTTAAATGTTCCCTTTCCCAGGTTATCCTTGTATACGTATAAAACATACCTTTCATATATAGCGTTAAATTACAAAGAGGCAATTTTATATTCCTCCATGGCCATGGAATTTAGTTGACACTTTAGGTCCTTGTACTGGTTTCATATATATGAACTACAGCTATATATGTTCCAATGAACCACTGGATTATTTTGCTTAGAACCTTGCTCCCTTTGCATAAAAATTACACAAATTCTTTTTGAACAGTGTACCTTTCTTTTTATTTTCTGAACATTTTTTCTTCTGCATGTTCTGCAGAAAAATACAATTTGGCAGGTACTTCAATGCCATGCAATGAAATTAGTGAAGGAACAAACAACACAGACCAAATCATGCATAGTTCAGACTTGAAAAATAGATATAATTGTGGCAGAATATGTTTCCATTTATTATCTAAACTACAAAATTGACTTATTTCCCCCCCTAATGATCCAGTTCCTAAGTTTTTACCTCATTCCACTAGTCCCCAATTTAATCAATAAAAAAGCGTCATCTCCTCTTCCCTGGAATATTAGTATGTTCCATGTGCTTCTTTTCAGTTGTATCACAAATGAAATATCATATGCTCTAGCTTTAGCATGCAGAATTAGTCCTCCTCCTCAAAAACAGCTACTGCATAATGTCCAGCTGGAATGTAGACAGCAGTTTCCACCTCTCCTCCACCTTTGCTTTGCTTCTGGAAATGGATCTCCAGAGCTTCACACATCATCTCCCTCTCTAAGACATCTGGAATCTCTGTCAGCAGGACCGTACGAGGACAGATGGAAGGATGGAGCTGAGTGGAGAAAAAATTAGAGACTAGTGAACAAATGCCACAGTTGAAGATAAATGAAAGCCAAGAACAAGTTGTTAAAACAAAAACAAGATTCAAGAGATCTTGGTTTATAGATCGGATCAGTGGTGAAATTCAATTTTTTTTACTACAGGTTCTGAGGCGTGGCTTGATGGACGTGGCAGGGGAAGGATACTGAAAATCTCCATTCCCACCCCACTCCAAATTCTTCAACTGGCACCAAGATGCAAAGGTACCCATCGTATTTGCATTACACAATTAAATGTAATTATGGTCTTACTTTTGCTCAACTTTTGAAAAGAGTTTTAAGCTGAGTTAAAGGAAACCTTTTTTTCCCTCTTATATATACAATTTTTCTATGGAATTATTGCTGGTATAATGTATTGGAATTTTGGCATTGAGAAGGAAGATCTCTCTCAAATTAGGGCCAGAGATGACTATTATTTAGGGCAGAGCCTCCCTAAGAATACTGTCTGTCTCTGCATGTATAAAAGGGCAGAGCTTCAGTTGTGAAGTTCCACCTGCTTTCTTGTACCTTTTGACCCTTCTGACTCCAGAGACATTCAAGCCCCAAAATCTTGTGATGTAGCTCCCAGAAATAACCAAACATTTAATGCCAAGTTTTAATTTTTACAGCGAGAGAGAAAAAAATGATTAAATATATGACTGGCAAATAATCATGTGAACAATATATATTTTGAGTTAAAATTAAACATAAATAAAATCTCATTCTGCCCCACCCATTACTTTTAGAAAACACCTACTCCCATCGCTGTAGTCTTTGAATGGGGAGCATAGTTTGCTTAAGGAGAGGCAAATGCAGTGTGTCCAAGTTTTCCCCTCACCTGTAAATCTGCAATTTCCCCATGTAAGCAATGTGATGCTTTGACCTGATGGGTCTCCTTTCCAAGCAATACCTGGAACAGCCCTTTTTTAACAATCCGTTCAGCCACTATAAGGGAGGGAAAAGCCTGTGATTAAAATCTGTAACACAGACCTGTGTTGAATCCCAGTGGTGGGATTCAAATAATTTAACAACTGGTTCTCTGTCCTAAAGATTTCTTCCAACAACCAGTTCATCAAACTGCTCAAAAAGTTAACCACCGGTTCTCCCGAAGTGGTGCAAACTGGCTGAATCCCACCACTGCCTATCCCCCACATATCTGTACTGGTACAAGACAAAGCACATTCTACAGATAACAAAGCACAATGTTGCTGGGTTTATTTCAGTTTTGTGCCCACCTCTTTCCACTCAGAAGGAAAATAAACATGCTTGCATCGAGCAGCAAAGCAAAAAGCAAAATAGAAAAATATGCTTTAAAAAAATCAAACACTTATGGGATGTTCAAACAAAAATGCTGAAATTAAAATGTTACTAAATTACTAAACTAAACATTACTAAACATTATAATGTTCTAAAACAATTAAGTAAAATTAGAAATACTCCAGTTCACCTGTCTTATGAAGAAAAAAATTAACCAAATAGACTTTTATTAAACCTATTGAATAAGGTATTGATGGGAGTGTAGTGAGCAAGAGAAAAGTTAATCAATAAAATACAAGGAATCAGATTTATAGTGGTAAAATGGAAGTCATTTTCATACTAAGCAGTACAACACTGCAGAACTACAGGTACTCCTTGTTCAGCAACTGCCTTGCTTAGTGACCATTCAAAATTACTATGGTGATGAAAAAGTAATTTTATTATCGGTTTCTGCATTTAAAACTCATGAAGGTCTGTAAAGAGAAGGAAAGCTGAAGTAAGATAATAAGCACAGTGGTGGTTTCACTTAACAACCAAGCTGCGAGTGATCACTATAAATGATTATTTGTAATTGTTTTTAGATTAATCCAGGGGCTACAGTACCAGTGGTTGTTTAAAAAAGGGTTATGATAAATATACAGAGGGGATCTATTGATGGCTCAAGACTCTGAAGCTAGAAAACGTTTAGCTCCATGCTCTAACCAAGAGCGGATGGCCGCTCTTATAATTCTAAACCTGCCCTTGAGTGCTTCAATGGAAGTATCTTAGGACAAATACGGAATCACTGATAAGTCCAGGAGGTGATATAACCATGAGCCCAGTGGTGGAATTCAATTTTTTTTACTACTGGCTCTGTGGGCGTAGTTTGGTGGGCGTGGCAGCGGAAGGATACTGCAAAATCCCCATCCCCTCCCCACTCCTGGGGGAAGGATACTGCAAAATCTCCATTCTCACCCCACTCTGGGGCCAGCCAGAGGTAGTATTTGCTGGTTCTCTGAACTACTCAAAATTTCCGCTACCGGTTCTCCAGAACCTGTCAGAACCTGCTGAATAGCACCCCTGCACGAGCCTCTCAATTTGTGGAAGGAATGCTACTCTCCCAAGACACATGGGGCACACTCTCCCTTTTATCTCATTTTCTCCTACCTCCATCATCTACAAAAGTCAGCACTACATTATCCGAATTTGGGAGCTGTTCCAGATGATCCACCTCACCCCCTAGGTTCTTCCGTTTGCTGAAAAACAGTATTAGCTTGTCGTAGAGCTGATCCTTGGATAAAGAGAAAGCAGACAATCCAGATAACAGCACTTGCTGGGAACTCTGCTTCAGGGAGATCTGCTGGAATCAGAAGGGAAAGAGAGAAAGTAGAATTTAACAATAGTATAGCATTATTATTATTATCTCTTTTGTTCATTAAACATGAAACTCAGTCAACTGAACATTTAAAAATGTGTCACAAATATGATTGACTGGTGCTAATGGTTGATACGGGTTGCTGCCAGCGTCCTAGATATCTTCTTAAAATATATGATGTTCCGAGTAACACAGTTTTTTGCAGTTCTGCTGGTGTTATTGCAGGAAGCTGCAATTTCTTGATGTGTTTTGTAAAATTCTTGAATATGGTACCAAGTGCCCCGTTGACAATGGATATCACTGTTACAGTCTCGATTTTCTTTGATTGTCCAAGTTTTGCACTTTTGTCCCAGTTGCTTTACAGTTGCACGCCCTGGTCCCCCAGCAGTAACAACCGAGCCCTGTAGCCCATTTTTCGGCAGATGTCCAGGAGCCATAGCATCTGATGCTTTTCTTGTTGACCCAGGTGATGACCAATCCGGTATGGAATTTTGTTGATTTCTTCTCATCATTGGTGATGGTAAGTACCTGGTTTGGTTCACTGTGGCTAAGCGGCTACCAATCGAAGACTGGCATTCCCATAACCATAGGGACCGCACCTGATAGCTGTCTAGGCCCAGCCACGGGTTTGACTGGTTGACTGGTGACAATTCTCCAACCACAAAGAATTTTTGTCCAATTTTTTTTACTTCTAGGCATATCCACCACATATGATAATATGACCCCGGTATCTGATGACATTTCCAACATCTATCTGATTTGTCTTTAAACATTTTTCCCAATCTTTCCTATGACAAATGCCATCTATAAAAATCTTGTATAAATTTTCCTTGTATGAAGTTGACATTGTTAATTTTTAATTTCTATCCCATAGTAGTTGCCATTTATCTAATTCTATCATATAACCAAAGTTTTTCGCCCATGCTATCATTGTTTGTTTTACTTGCTCTTCTTCTAATTTAATATGCAATAAATAACTATACAATTCTTTTGTATAGTTTGCCCTCTCTTTTATTTTATTTTAACCAATTCTGTCAATTTCATATAAAAACCATATAGTTTAACATCTTTTTCATATCTGGATTGTATTTGCAGTTGTGTATACCAAGCCATATCAATCCCGTTTTTCCAATTCTGGGGGTATGTGGCTAGCATCGCAGTGAAACAACATGTCCCTTGGGAGCTCCCATAGGACCATCGAAATCCCAGCTGTCAGGCAGTCCTTTTGGGGCCTGAATCACCTCATAGGGGAATAAGCAAGGGGAGCATGTTCCATCGATCTCAGGGAGTCCGCAAACTCCCTGATCGATCCGAAGAAAGCTCCTTAATCCGCCAACTGGGAAGGCAAAAATAGAAATTGAGGACATAAGAGTAAGGAAGAGATGCAGGGGTGAAATGCTCCCGGTTCGGATCGAATCGGGCAATCCGGTAGCAATGGCAGTGGGTAGTTCAGAGAACCGGTAGCAAAAATCCCTGCCCCCCCTGCCCATGCCCACCCAATTGCTCAGTCCCTACTTGTCCACTTGACAGCTTGCTGCTTTTTTCAGGCTCGCTCACTATTCCTGCCTTGCTTCGGCTACTGCAATCAATTGCATCAGCTAGCAACTCAGTCTGCCTGCAATCAATCAATCCAATCCAATCGGTGAGCAATTCAATCTGCCTGCCTGCCTGCCTTGTGCCTTCAATTTGGTAAGTAACTGGGGTATTTTTGGGGGGAGCTTTAAAAAAATAGTTAATTGGGGTTAATTCTTTTTTTCTATGGCTATTATTGGTTCTTTTTTCTTGTGGTTGCTCTGTGAACTCTCTTTTTGGGATATAAATATTGGATAACTGTATTTTTGGGGCTTGGTGGCTGATTTGGATTACAAATTATTATTTGATAAATTCCTCTCCCTGAGGCAATTTGGATTAGGGTTTGAAAAACCTGAAGAAAAGAACAAGAACAACTCCAAGAAATTGTCGAGATTCGGATTTGGATTTGGATTACAAATCATTTTTCTTTTTTTTTCTTTTTGGATTTTGTTTTCTCTCTTTTTTTTTCGTTTTCTTTTCTTTTTGTTTTTTCGAGGTAGCACTTTGAAATAAGGCAGTTACGGGTTTCTTTTTAAGTGGCTGTTACCACTTCTATTTTTTCTACCTATATCTTTTTGCTGCCAAGTGGTAACGTGAATTCTTCTTTTGGGAATAATTGTAATTTGGGGTATTTTTCCTCTCTCTGAGGCAATTTGGATTAAGGTCAGAAGAACCTGAAGAAAAGAAGCAAGAAAAACTCTGAGATTTGGGTTTGGATTACAAAGCTTTTTGGCTGCTCTTTTTTCTTTTTTATCATGTTTGTTACCATTTTGGTTTTCTATTTTTTTTTCTTTTTGGCTTTCTTGGGGTTTTTTTTGGGTGGGCCTGTATTTGGATATAAATTGGCTTGTCAATACAATGAGCTATATTCAGTGGATTACAAATATCAAGACATTACAAGATAAGGAAAATAACATTAGCCAGTGGTGGGATTCAAATAATGTAACAACTGGTTCGCTGCACAATGACCAGCTGGGTAGGAGTGGCAAGGTGGTCATGTGCCTGGGTGAGCGTGGCCATCTCAACATCACTCATGTCAAGGGACGCTTCGCCTCACTCGGCCTCTGGTTACCGTGGGGATGCTGCAACAACTGTAAGTATGAAAAATGGTTATAAGTCACTGTTTTCAATGCCGTTGTAACTTTGAATGGTCACTAAATGAACTGCTGTAAATCAAGGATTACCTGTATAAAAATACAAAAAGCTTCTTTGCTTGCAATAATGTGCCCTCATTAGATTACAACCCAGTTACAAATCAGGCAGGGTGCCAGAGCAACTTGAGGAATTAAAATAGTTAAAATGCAATGATAATTATCAGCAGTCAACTCTTGCTCATAAAGTGAAACCCTTTAGCAGAGAGGTCATTTAAGCTCTCCAGAAAGTGAGTGGGCATATTTGGGCTACAAAATGCTGAGCTAAAGAGACAAATTAACAAATTATATAGGGAACCCAGGTTTCAAGTCTCTGCCTTCCCAAGTTTGTCAAGCATGGGTGGTCTCACTCACCTCACAAGATATCCTAAGGAATGGGAGCCTGTGAATTAAATTGATAAGAGGTTGTTTGGCTTGTCAGAGAGCGGAATACTGGAAGCTTTGTTGTTGTTGTTGTTTATTTGAATAGTGCAGCTCTTGGAACTTGAAAGGAGAAATAACAGAAACAGGCCAAGGTGAAACTCTATCCTTCTTCCGTTTGGTGGCGTTTTGAAATAAGGCTGTTACGTTTTTCTTTTTAAGTGGCTGTTATTGGTTCTTTTTTCTTGTGGTTGCTCTGTGAATTCCTGCTTTGGGATATAAATATTAGATAACTGTATTTGTGGGGCTTGGTGGGCTGATTTGGATTACAAATTATTGTTGTTGTTGTTGTTGTTGTTGTTGTTGTTGTTGTTATTATTATTATTATTATTATTATTATTATTATTATTATTATTATTTTTAAATATTTGATAAATTCCTCTCCCTGAGGCAATTTGGATTAGGGTTTGAAAAACCTGAAGAAAAGAAGAACAAGAACCCCAAGGAGGACATATAAATTGTCGAGACTCGGATATGGATTTGGATTACAATTTTTTTTCTTTTTTTTTCTTTTTGGATTTTTTTTTCTTTCTTTTTTTCTTTTTCTTTTCCTTTTGTTTTTTCCAGCTTCTTTTTGGTGGCACTTTGAAATAAGGCTGTTACATTTTTCTTTTTAAGTGGCTGTGATTGGTTCTTTTTTCTTGTGGTTGCTCTGTGAATTCTCTTTTTGGGATATAAATATTTGATAACTGTATTTTGGGGGCTTGGTGGGCTGATTTGGATTACAAATTATTATTTGATAAATTCCTCCCCCTGAGGCAATTTGGATTAGGGTTTGAAAAACCTGAAGAAAAGAAGAACGAGAAGAACCCCAAGGACATATAAATTGCCGAGATTTGGATTTGGATTACAAATCATTTTTCTTTTTTTTTTCTTTTTGAATTTTGTTTTCTCTCTTTTTTTTTTCTTTTCCTTTTGTTGTTTCCAGTTTCTTTTTAGCAGCGCTGCCACCTGATAATGCTTTCAAGAAAGCATTTTTGGGTGGCAGATCTGTGATCCCCTTCCCGATTCCAAAAATGTGGTGTGAAGAGGCAAAAAAAGTGCATCGCATTTCAGCTGCTGGATCTCACCAAGAGGAAAGAGAAGGTGAGTCTGCTGAGAGGGAAGAGGAGGGTGTGCAGCTCTGCAATTTGCAACAGACAGGAAAGCATTTTCAGGTGGCAGTGCTGTGATCCCCTCCTCGAATCCAAAAATGGTTCCCGGTTCCCTGATGCACATTGGAGGGGAACTGGCTGCCGCCTGAAACGTGGCTCTGCAAATTGTATCAGGGAATCAGGCCAATGGGCTACAGTGGCTGGAAAGGAGGGACATTTCAGTTTAGAAGCTCCTGCTCGGCTCGGCTCCTGGGCACGGAGAGGGCTTAGGCAATGGTTTCTCATATTACTGGGGAGTGAAGTCATTGTGGCCATTGTCTGCCCTGAGCTGCCCGCTGAGCTGCCAGAGGGGGGACTAGCTGCAAACTGTGGGTCTGGCCTTGTTCACCCAAGTCGCCAGGCAGATCCCCCTCCCAGACCATCCCAAAGAGGTCCGTTCCTCAGGCTTTGCCCCAACCCTCCCTCCAGAGCATGTGAGGCAGTGGTGGGTTGCTCCCAGTTCGCACTGGTTCGGGAGAACTGGAAATAAAAATCTGTCATGGTTCAGAGAACCGGTAACAACGTCTGGCTAGCCATGCCCCTGAACCAGTCCCCAGCCTGGTTGCCGCTCACATGCACCGCCTGTCTGGTCACTGCTCGCTTGCCCCACCTGCCCAGTTGAACCTTTTCCCACCCATCCAAGTGCTATATAAACGTCTCTTTGCCACACGGCCCATTACTCATCTCGTGACTCACTCTTCACATGATC